TGTGTCCGCAGTCTCTGGTCATCCCCTGTACTGTGTCCGCAGTCTCTGGTCATCTCCTGTACTGTGTCCGCAGTCTCTGGTCATCCCTGTACTGTGTCCGCAGTCTCTGGTCATCCCTGTACTGTCCGCAGTCTCTGGTCATCCCCTGTACTGTCCGCAGTCTCTGGTCATCCCCTGTACTGTGTCCGCAGTCTCTGGTCATCCCCTGTACTGTGTCCGCAGTCTCTGGTCATCCCCTGTACTGTCCGCAGTCTCTGGTCATCCCCTGTACTGTGTCCGCAGTCTCTGGTCATCCCCTGTACTGTGTCCGCAGTCTCTGGTCATCCCCTGTACTGTGTCCGCAGTCTCTGGTCATCTCCTGTACTGTGTCCGCAGTCTCTGGTCATCTCCTGTACTGTGTCCGCAGTCTCTGGTCATCTCCTGTACTGTGTCCGCAGTCTCTGGTCATCTCCTGTACTGTGTCCGCAGTCTCTGGTCATCTCCTGTACTGTGTCCGCAGTCTCTGGTCATCTCCTGTACTGTGTCCGCTGTCTCTGGTCATCTCCTGTACTGTGTCCGCAGTCTCTGGTCATCTCCTGTACTGTGTCCGCAGTCTCTGGTCATCCCCTGTACTGTCCGCAGTCTCTGGTCATCCCTGTACTGTGTCCGCAGTCTCTGGTCATCCCTGTGCTGTCCGCAGTCTCTGGTCATCCCTGTACTGTCCGCAGTCTCTGGTCATCTCCTGTACTGTGTCCGCAGTCTCTGGTCATCCCTGTACTGTCCGCAGTCTCTGGTCATCCCTGTACTGTGTCCGCAGTCTCTGGTCATCCCTGTACTGTGTCCGCAGTCTCTGGTCATCCCTGTACTGTTAATTAGTTTGCACTACTGTACGAGTTGTTTTTTCTAAACCAAAGCTCGATATTCAGGTTTCATTGCAGTGTTGGCACTTTGAAAGAAATAAGTTGGTTTTGGGTTGCAGTTTGGGCACTCGGGCTCAAAAAGGTTCGCCATCACTGCACTATTCTATGCTATACTATATTATACTATACTACTCTATACTATGTGATGCTATACTATATTATACTATACTATACTACTAGGAGCGGACTGACTATTTGGAAACTCAGGCACTGCCCGAGAGCCCGGGGTCAGTAGGGGGCCCCATGAGATGCCCCTGGTACCTTTTTCATAGGTTTTTTGAGTTTGGGCAAGAACACAGGGGCCCCATGATCCCCTATTGCCAGGGGGCCCCATGAGTTGTCAGTCCGCCCCTGTATACTACACTATACTATATTATACTATACTACTCTATACTATACTACGCTATACTAATATTATACTATACTACACTATACTATATTATACTATACTACTCTATACTATACTATGCTATACTATTCTATACTATACTACACTACACTACTCTATACTATACTACACTACACTACTCTATACTATACTATACTATACTACTCTATACTATACTACACTACTACTACTCTATATACTATACTACACTACACTACACTACTCTATACTATACTATACTATTCTATACTATACTACACTACACTACTCTATACTATACTACACTACACTATGCTACTCTATACTATGCTATACTACTCTATACTATACTACACTACACTATACTACTCTATACTATACTACACTACACTAAACTATACTATACTATACTATACTATATACTATACTATACTATACTATAGCGCGATGCACTGATGTAAGAAGCTTCATAGATTGTAATGGAAACTATTTTGTCTGCAATTATGGGGTGCAGTCATCATGTGTTTTGGCACAGTTACAAAGTGATAGTGTGGATAGGCCCTAAAACTGAACTGTAGAAAAATTGCTAAATACTCAGATGAAGTTCATATAAGGGAGCTGTCTTACCTACCAAATGGTGTATCTCCGTTCATCCAGTCCAAGAGATTTACACAGCTCTGTCACACAGCACATTCCTGGCAGGCAGGGCAGGAAACCTTTTTTTTTTTCTGCTGCCATTGAGCAACACTTACGCCCATTTCATACAGTGCCATCTGGTCCAATCAGCATGGGATCCGTGAACAGATTCCCTGCTGAATTAGAACAGAATGGGATAGGTGTCACTTTTATGACCTCTGTGCTTATTCGATTTTTTCTTCATTTACAAACCAGAGCTTTCTGGACCCACATTGGATGCCTGATAAAAATGAACTTCTGTCTATGTACAATAGACTACCTCCAATCCATGATATTTAGGTCTGAAAAAACATAAAAGGACACAGACCTTTAACAATTTTTTTTAGACCTGGACCAACCTTGAGATAGTCAGATGCAAATCAACCTGTTCATAGGCTTACATAGAGCTTGTAATGAGGTCACCTAAAAAAACGGGCCTGTGTGAAAGTAGCCTTACAGGTCTTCTACCCTCCAGCTACTGATGACTGGACAGTGAAAAAAGAAGCAGCACCCTGATGAGCTGATCTCTTTGGTACTCTGCTCTTTCCTCTTATCAGCATGCTACTTGCACTGCATGAAACTGACCGAGGTACCAGGCCACGAATAGTGGAGTTCTTCTTTAACTAATCAAAGTTATGATATTTTCTCCAGTAACAGATTAAAAAAAATCCATCTTTTCAATGTCAGAGATGTTTAGGAGAAACAGCAGGGGACCCAGTGGGTTAAACCTATTAACAATGATTACTGCTACTCCGTAAGGGGGAGAGGGAAGGAGCCCATTGGGCATGGCAGCAGAATCTGGCTTCAGAACTGCTGTAGTCAGCACTGGGGTAATTGCTAGCTCTCCGCTAAGTTATCTTAATGAGGAAAATTGGTAAAGAAGGATGGAAGTGATTATTTGTGAATTATCAGAAAGCACAAGCTACATCTTCTACACACCATAAATCTTTCAGTAACCGAGCCCCACTGTATATATTCCAGTCTAATGTTGTGGGAACTTCAGACTCTGCTGTTTGAATGGATCTTTCTCTTCCAAAATCTTCTTATTAATTTTTAAAGGTTTACATGAAAGGAGTAAGGAAATAAAACCTAGTAAACGCTGCCATAAAAGATGTGTTTGTTGTTTCGCAGGGCTTTATTGTATTGCTTGACTCTTTCTAGATAAGCGATTCATCCTCCTGCTTCGAGTCAGTGAAATAACTAAGACTAGGCCAACTGAACCTCTGATCATGTATTAGATGTGTGAAGGTTTAAGAATCAGGATTCTGAAGAAATGTGTCTGGTGATTCAACGAGGAGAATTTTTTAAAACCATAATGTACTGCCTGGACTTTGAACTATGGCTATCAAACTTAGAAGGGCCAATTAGAGGGGTACGTCAGCCCCCTGACTATAAAAAGAGGGGCAGTAAAATGGAAGCTGTTGCAGGAAAACCATGGGGAAAGTTGACAAACTCCATAGAAAGAGGTAAGGTCATTTAGGAAACTATACTTTTAATTCTGATTGCTAGCTCTTTGGGAAATCAACCCCTCTGCTGCCTTCTTCTTTTTACTATCATCATCATTATTATTATTAGGATTTTTTTTTTTTTCATTTTATTTTGTGGCTCATTTGGGGTTAGCATTAGGTGCTATCCCGTTCATAGCAAACTCCCTGTTTCCTCTGCAGGCTTTTGTTTCAGAGGTGTTTTGGGGGTTTCATTTCTTTTCTGTTTTTTTTTTATTTTAATTTTATGTTGATAGGATATTTATTTTATGTTAAACTGCTTTATTTTATTTTACTTTTTTATTTATTTGCAGTAAGGTTTCCTTTAAATAAAGCGTGATTTTGTTTTTAGGGGGTATTTTGAGTTTTCATTGCTTTTCTGGGTTTTTGTATTTTTATTTTATGTTGATAAGCCCTTTTTTAGGATAAACATTCTTTTTTAGTTTATTATTTGCTGGGGGTTTTTTTTTTTTGAGTTTTCATTTCTGGGTTTTTATTTTAATGTTGAAAGAGATAAAATTTTAGGTTAAACTGCTTCATATAATTTTTTTTTCTGTAGGACTTCCCTTAATGGAGAAGTACAAGCACAGCTCTTTTTTTTTGCACTTCTGTGGATCACGAGAGTGAAGTTTGTTCTGCACTCCTCTGACCTGTTTTCAGCTGACAGTCATGTGATCGAAAAGTTCTCACAATTAGAGGGGGGGGGGGGAATGAAATCCCATACTCTTTTAAAAAAAGTGGGCTTTTGTTTAAGGGGAGTATTTTGGGGTTTAATTTCTTTATGGGTTTTTTGTATTTTTATTTTATGTTGATAGGGCTTTTATTTTTGGTTAAACAGTTTTTTTTTATTTCATTAATTAATGTATTCATTTATTTGTGTATGTATGTATGTATTTTTGCTGCAAGACTTCCTTTTAAAAAGTGGGCTTTTATTTAAAGGGTGTTTATTATTTCTTTTTTTGGGAGGGGGGCTTTTTTTGGGTATTTTTATTATATGTTGGCCTATTTAGTAATTTTACATAGCTCAAAGCAAAGCATTTATTTGTTACTCTCTCTCTAGAGTCTATACCTCTTTTATTACAAGAGAGGATTTTTCTCGCTTTAGAAACCGCAGCTAGGCATTGCATGCCATTATTAAGCTTGTGATCTACCAGAACTCCCAGATCCTTCTGCACCATTGATTCCCCCAGTTGTACCCCCCTAGTATGTATGATGCATGCATATTGTTAGCCCCCAAGTGCATAACCTTACATTTATCAACATTAAACCTCATTCGCCACATAGATGCCCAATTAACCACTTGCCTACCAGGCACTTATACCCCTTCCTGCCCAGGCTAATTTTCAGTTTTCAGCGCTGTCGCACTGACAATTGCGCAGTCATACAACACTGTAACCATTTTTATAATTTTTTTTCACACAAATAGAGCTTTCTTTTGATGGTAGTTAATAACCGCTGGGTGTTTTATTTTTTGTGCTATAAACAAAAAAGAGCAAAAAATTAAAAAAAAAAAAAATGTTTTTCTTTGTTTCTAATGTAAAATTTTGCAAACAGGTAATTTTTTCTCTTTCACGGATGTGCATTGATAAGGCTGCACTGATGGGCACTGATAGGCAGCACTGATAAGGTGGCATGGATAGGCAGCACTGATGAGATGGCACTGATGATGCTACACTGATATGCAACAATGATGGGCACTGATAGGTGGCACTAATGGGCATTGATAGGCAGCACTGAGGGTGGCACTGTCTGTCAGCACTGACTGGCGGCACTGGCTGTCAGCACTGACTGGTGGCACTGCTGGGCACTGACTGGCGGCACTGCTGGGCATTGATGGGTGGCACTGCTGGGCACTGGCGGGTGGCATTGCTGGGCACAGGTGGGTGGCACTGCAGTGTAGATCAGGGCCGGTCTGTCCGATGACAATTTCCGGTTATCAGCAGTACATTCCTCATGCTGTAACCGGCAACTGCATTTACCGGTGATCTGTTGTTTCATTGGACACAGCTGATCACGTGGTAAAAGGCTGCTGTGATTGGCCTTTTACCACATCACGTGATCACCTGTGTCCGTAGGACACAGCGATCACGGAGATTGCAGGGTGCACACCCCCGGTGGCACGCGGGAGGGCGTGTTCTAGGAGGACATGATATGATGCCCTCCCAGTACAGGACAACCGCGCTGTAGCCATCATTTGGCTACAGCGCAGTTGGCAAGTGGTTAAACAGAGCATTGAGGTCGGCTTGTAAGTTGAAGTCATCCTGTAAGGACGTTATTCCACTGCACAGCTTGGTGTCATCTGCAAAGACTGAAATGGGATTTTTAATCCCAGACTCTATATCGTTTATAAATATATTAAAAAGTAAGGGTCCCAACACTGAACCTTGGGGTACACCACTGACCACCCTAGACCATTCAGAGTATGGATCGTTAACAACTACTCTCTGAATACGATCTTTTAGCCAGTTTTCTATCCATTTACATACAGATTTTCCAAGCTTGTAGACTTTACCTTACACATTAGCCGTGTGTGGGGAACTGTGTCAAATGCTTTTGCAAAATCCAAGTATACCACGTCCACCGCCACCCTCTGTCCAAGTATACCACGTCCACCGCCACCCCTCTGTCCAAGTATACCACGTCCACCACCACCCCTCTGTCCAAGTATACCACGTCCTCCGCCAACCCTCTGTCCAAGGTTTTGTTCACCCCCTCATTAAAAAGAAAGATTTGTTTGACAACTTCTGTCTTTCATGAATCCATGCTGTCTGTTGCTTAAAATATTTTTTTCCAGCAAAAACTCATCTATGTGGTCTTTTATTAAACTCTCCAGTATCTTCCCAACTATAGAAGTTAAACTAACAAGGTCTGTAATTACTTGGTAAAGATTTTGACCCCTTTTTAAATATTGGCACCGCATTGGCCTTATACCAATCCAGTGGTACTATGCCAGTCATCATACCTAAAAATGAGAAACAATGGCTTTGAAATGACAGAGCTCAATTATTTAAGGACCCGTGGGTGTATGTCATCCGGCCCCCAGGTGCTTTATTCACCTTTATACTGTCTAAATATTTTTGGATCATATCAATTGTGAGCCAATGTGGATTATCTGGAGCTGTGTCAATACCATGCCCATTATGGACAAGAGCTCCCCCATGCTCCTTTGTATATAATCACAGAACTGAAGAAGGTATTTAATAAATGTGCCTTCTCTTTGTCCCCAGTCACCCACTCTAGATTATTTTGTAAAGGGCCTACATGCTCGGACCGGACCTTTTTACTATTAATATATTTGAAGAATTTTTGGGGGTTGGTCCTGCTATCTTTTGCAATCTGTCGTTCGTGTTCAATTTTTGCGGCCTTTATTTCCTTTTTGCATATTCTGTGATATTCTTTGTAATGTTTAAATGATAGCGTTCCTTCATTTTTATATTTAATAAAAGCTCTTTTCTTATTATCTATAGCTTTTTTTAACTTGGGCCGTAAGCCACATGGGTTTGATTTTTAGCCTTTTAAACTTGTTGCCCATGGGAATATATTTTGAAGTGTGTTCACACACAGTCATTTTGAAGAACTCCCATTTCTGTGTTGTGTTCATCGGTGCCAATATTCCTTCCCAGTCTACAGCTTGGAGAGCAGCTCTCAGCCTTGGAAACTTAGCTCTCTTAAAGTATCATCTTTATCTTATCAGATATCATCTTAAAGAGGATCTGTCACATGCACTAGGTTAGGGTGTCATATGGGGTGCTTGTCAGCCCTCTTGTGATAGCAATAAAGTAAAAAGTAAAAAAAAAAAGAAGAGAAGTTTAAAATGAACCCCCCCGTAACACTGTTTAATCTGTTCCGTATGAGCCTATATATATATATATATATATATTATATATATATATATATGGCCTCAAAGAAGGGAGTCTTCTTCTGTGGGGTTGCATGTACCTGTGTTGGGAGCACCAACAGCTCTGGATCTCTTACTGTCAAGAGCTGGGAGAGGACCGACTCTCGATCACATGATTGCTGTGATAGCTTGTATTGATTGACTATCATAGCAATCAATAACTGTACAGCACCCCCTCCTTTTCTTTATGAATGGTAAAAAAGATATATTGTATCGTTTTCTTTTAGCTGGTGGAGAAAATGTAGTTAAAAAGAAATCTTTGTGTGCGTCCAGTAGTGATCACTGCAGGTAATGGCTGGCTGTGTGGACAGACACGAACAGCTACTGTTATTATAGTGAATTGGCTCGCAGCAGCAGCAGCAGGAATCAAAGGATTCCTACAGCTGCAATTCGCTAAATTGCTGGTGCAAATGTAGCCTAAAGATAATAAAAACTAGATCAAGGTTTGGTTCAAGGCCGGGGTCAAAAGTCAGGGTCAGTGGGTTTTAGGTAGGATAAAAAAATAGTTTTTTTTATTTGGTATCAGTGTAAGTTAAGGCCGGTGTCATCGTGTTTTTGGTAGGATAAAATTGCATTGTTTTCTGTTTCAGGGCTCTATTACAGGTACAAACAACAAATAATATACACATAATATACACATGTGGTATGACTACAATTGTCAGAAGTAAGAAAATTCTTTTTGGGTTGTTGTGCAGTGGTGGGTTTTAGGAATAGTAAGAAATACTGCTAAATTTAAAAAAGTTATATATATTTTTAAGCTAGTTTATCTTTGATAAAAAAAATCAGGAGTGGGAACAATATTTCTAGGATCATTATTCACTCATTTTTTATAGTTAACTCCAACTGATGGATGAACTGTAAAAGCTTTTAAAACATTAACTATGGGCAGGGGTGGACTGACAATCATGGGGCCCCCAGGCAATAGGGGATCATGGGGCCCCTGTGTCCTTGCCCAAACTCAAAAAAGCCTATGAAAAAGGTACCAGGGCATCTCATGGAGCCCCCTACTGACCCCAGGCCCTCGGGCAGTGCCCGAGTTTTCAAATGGTCAGTCCTCCCCTGCCTATGGGGCAATTTAGTGTAGCGCCCTCTGGTGTACATAGTTGTTGAGAGTAGTTAGAGGCTTGCTAGAAGCCTGGGTTTTAGTAATAGGGTTACTTCAGGTCAAGGTTGGAGAGCTCTACAGGTCAGTCCTCTGGTACCTCCCCCCCTGCTCTAGAAACTTGGAGAAGCTTCTAGAAGCCAGTAGACAGAGGTGATAGAGAGCTGATCTGCATATTTATGGAAGTCTGTCCAATCCCTGGCAGGAAGTCTGGCAGTGTGGCAGATCAGCCCATAAATATGATACAGTCAGGCCAGCAGGTCGGGTGGAAGATGCAGTGCTGAGAGGTGCTGTTGTTTAGCCTGGGAGGGGGCCCCGGAGAAGGGGGGGTCTTGCCTCCAGGCTGGAGGCTGCAAGCTGAAGGAGAAAGCTCAAAGAGGGAGCTCTACTACCACGCAGTCCACTATGGATTGCTCTTCAGAGATTGTTTGACAGGTGGTGAAGTATGTCATCACCTCACTGCCTCACCCCTCACCCCCATCCTTGACAGCGTGCAGGGGTTCCTCTCTTCTGCAGCCGATGTCAGATTGGTTGTGCGAGGCTTGCTGAAACCCCAGGCTTATTCATATCCCATTTAAGTCCTTTTGAACTTCAGTTTAAATTTAGTAAAAAACATTTCAGGTGTATCACACAAAGGGCATTCAATGTCTTACAGTTTACATAGCCTGTGTAAAAATAACCATCCTGTCTGTTCCAGAGAAGCACCCTTGCTGTGTGTGGAAGCAGTGTTCTCTCTGCCGAGGTTCAACACACCACCTGCAGAGTCAGACTTTTAGCTCTGTAATCAGCAAAGTTAGTGCTTTGCTGATTGGAGTACTCTGATTTAGAAGGGGGGCATGTTGGCCCTCTTGCAGATAGACCACTGCTTTCATGCAAAGTAAGAGTCCCACTCTGCAGCCTTCTTGCAGGGGATTGGCTTTCCTATTCACACTGTAGCTGATTAAATAAAAAAAAACTTGTAAGGGTCTATTTACATTAGCTTAGCCCTCTAAAGAGTGATCCACTGTGGATTGCTCTTCAGAGAACGTTTGACAGGTGGTGAAGTATGTCACCACCTCACTGCCTATTTAAAGTGGTTTTAAAGGCTCAGGATTCTTAGCATGAAGGTAAAAATTCTTCTGTGTGCAGCAGCCCCCCCCCCCCCCCCCCAGCTTCCCCTAATACTTACCTAAGATCCATTGCAATCCAGCAATGTGCATATGAGCTCTGTGGACTCTCCCTTCTCATTGCCAATGGCTCCTGCTGCTGTCAATCACAGCCAGTGAGCCAATGAGGAGAGAAAGGGGCCAAGCCATGGCTCTGTGTGTAAATGGACATGCAGAGCTGCAACTCAGGGGGGAGCCTTCTTAGGTGCCCCCATGGAAAGCTGCTTGCTCTGGGTGCACGCAGCAGGAGGGAGGGGCCAGGAGCGCCAACAGGGATCCAAGAGGAGGAGATAAGCATGGTAAACCACTGCAGAGAGCGGGTAAGCATGTCATGTTTGTTATTAAAGAAAAAGAATTGTCTTTAAAATCACTTTAACCCCTGTTGTGGGGTGTTTGTTTTGTGGCCAGGGGCAGTACTGCCTTGCCAAAAGCAACAGGGGAAATGCTTGCTGCGCCACAATGCTTTCCAACTGTCCACCCCTGTACACTGACTTTGCAGCTTAAAGTGTTACTAAATCCAGGAGCCTGCATTCACCATATCTGGTCTCCTACAGTACACACAACATGGAAATGCAATTATTTTAGTAACTATAAACTGCTAAATACCTTTTCTCATCAGCAGTCATGGCAGTCTTGTGACTTCTATCAGTGTCCAGCAGAGCACTGGTTAAAGCCTGTAGGAGTTTTCTTTTTGCTCTAGGAGGATGCAAAACCCCTGACCTCGGTCTGGACAGAGCTGATTGGCCTTGTGATGATCACATTCCGTCTCCCAAGAAAAAAACAAACCTCTCTAGCAATACACACTAAACTGAGCATGTGCAGAATGGCTACGGGTTCAGTCTGCCTTATCAGGAGATAAGACATGGACATTTGAACAAGAGGAGGAGCAGAGAAGACAGGATCAAACCGCCTTTTTACGCAATGCAGATTAACCCCTTACGTTCCACAGTGAGTATAACAAGCATATAATCTGTATATACAGATTGATTTTACTGTTGCAGGTTTACTAACACTTTAAGGGGAAGTGGTTGGAGGGAAGTAAAAGTGTGGCTGTTCACTCTAGTGCCCCCCCCCCCCCCCCAGCCTTTTGTCTTGATGCACCTGGAATGTATTTACCTATATTAAAGTAAAAGTTCAATTGGACTTTAGGTTCTGTGTTTAACTGCAGCTGAAGGGTGCTTTAAGGGCTTCAAGTAAGCAGCTGTAGGCTTGCTGGCAGCTTTGTAAAGTTTGCTGTATAAGCTGAAGCCCAAGATTACAAAGACTAAGCGGCCTTGTAAACGCTGACAAGTCCTCTATAAGCCGTTGATCAGCATGTAGCTGTTCATGACATGCTCTGCCCATTCTTATTGAGAGAGGAACACAATTTAAAATCAGACATACAGTATAGAAATCAGCTGTGAGCTTGGACCGCTGTACTTGTTATTCTAGTACACTAGAGGGCAGCACTTTCTCAGCCAAGCACATCCTTGGCTAGTTCTGGGATCAATTTTGGAAACATTTGTAAAGTTTCTGGATGTCATAAAATGGTACGCCTCATTCACAAACCAATAACGCTGATTTTGTTACCGGTCTTTTTATGTATATTCAGGACCTGATTTGAGTTCTCTTCATTGTTCATCTTTGGGGTAGTACAGAGAAGAAATAAGTGTGTTATTCTGCAACAACCAATATGTTATTATGTTAAAATTCATTTTTAAAGTTTCCATTGCTGACGTAAAGGTGTTTTAGAAGGTGTCATCTTCATACTTATACCCCCTGAGCCAGAACCAGCCTGCAGATAATCATGGATATCCTCCGAGCCATGTTCCAGTCCTTGGATTGCCAAACCCTCCCTGCTAAATGTGGGCTTGTTTCATCAAGGACTGGTACATAGCAGTGCTGGTACTCTATATCCACTTGAACACCAGGCCTTTCCTGGCACTTTTTGTTTACAAGTAACAATCAGTATTATTTGCTCAAAAATTTCTTAGAACCTCCAAAAATTGTATTTTGTTAAAGCAGAGGTCCTGGAGAATAATTTGGTGGAATTTGCTATTTTTTATGTCACACAGTATTTGTGCAGTGGCTTTTTTGAAATTTAATGCAAAAAACACAATATGTACAGGAATCGCGGAGAAAAGTCCTGCCGATGTACTGCTTACCAGGGGCATCCCTAGTGTCGGTGTCACCCGGTGCGGTAACACTTGGTGTCACCCCTCTGACGATCCCCGCAGGATGGAGTTCAATCCATTATGCTCCCCAATCCTCAGATCCGATCCATTCTGCAGGGATCATCAGCTTGCAACCTATACAAGGTTAACTGATCTCTCCACGAGCTCCATGAAAAGGTAAGTTTTAAAGCAAGCCGACGATCCCCGCAGCGGATGGATCGGATCCGCGAATTGGGGAGCATAATGGATCAGACTCAGATCCATTATGTTCAGTCTGCAGATCCGATCCATCCTGCGGGGATTGTTGGCTTGCTTTAAAACTTACCTTTTCGTGGAGCGGGTCCGATGTCACCCCCGTGGAATAGGTGTCACCCGGTGTGGGCGCGCACCCCCCACTGCTGCTGGCTACATGGACAAATTGACATGTAACAGTTCTGGAGTATCGACTATTACAGCTACTGGCCTGCTATGGTGAAGTTGTGATTGCACAATCTTCCAGCTGAGTGCTTTATAACCATTTATACCTTTATGGTCCACCTGGTGTGGTGAGAGGCCCTTACATCTATATGTGGACGTGGTGTAGTCACATCGTGGTGTACCATTGCAACATAGATCGCACTTGGCACTTTATGTACACTGATTGTTTTTTTTTTGGAGAAGAAGGGACTTTAAGGGCCAGTTCACACTATAGAAAGCAGTCCAGATGTGTTCCAGATGCGTTTCTGCATGCGTGCTTTTGACATGTTCTGGTGCATTTTTGATGTTTTCCAGTTAATTTTCTCCTTTTTCTTCAATTTAAATAGGGACATGTGCGTTCTGGTAGGTTTTTTGATGCATTTTACCGGGTTCCAGTACAGTTCTGGAACCCGGTAAAATGCATCATGCAAAATGCATTCTACTTTATTTTCCTGCATCCGGAACATACTGGAACTGAAAGCACTGAACTAGGACATTGACAACCAAAGCACACTGAAACACATGTAGTGTGAACTGGTCCTAATTGCCACATGAATTTGTAATGTATGTTTTACATGGAAACTTTACTTTTTACTTTATTTAAAAATTTTATTATTTGTTTTTTTTTTTTTAACTTTTTACTGACTGTATGAAAATTCACTGTTATATAATTATTGGATTTTTATTGATTTCTAGGTTTAATATTAGCGCTGTTATTTTGTTTTATAAATTGAACAGGTGTACCTAACAAAGTAGCTGGTGAGTGTATGTACACAATAATAAACAATTGTCATGGGTTTTTTTAAACCTTTTTTGCATCTCAGTACTACTGATTGTCTTCTGCAACCTCTTTTAGCCACTTCACATCTGGATCCACATTTCGCCAGTGTTGATTTTTCAGGCAATTTCCATTGAAATGGACAAATATTTACTGGTACTCATCATGTCAGCCTACTATGGGGGTCAGTTCCAGACATGGGACCCCTTAAGACCACCTCTCCAAAATCAATACAGTTAAATAGTTCTTAACCCCACAAAGT